AAAAAAACGTTTTCGTCGAATCATCAAATCGTCGTAATAATTCTATAAATTAATAAATAAATAAATAATAATAATAATAAATTAATTAAAATATTTTTTATATTAATAAAAAAAGTCAAGTTTAATTTTATAATCTTTTTTTCAATGACTCAACACTCAAAACAAACGCATACGATTTGATCCCGTACAAAAATAAAAACTTAAAATTTAAACTTGGCGCCAAAAACTTGATGTCACGCTAAATGCATAATCAATAAAATGAAGGCGTTTTTAAAAAAAACTTTTCGTTTAATTTTATTATTATAATTTTTTTTTCTCTTCACTTTACGAGATTTGAATTATTTAATCGTAAAAAATTAAAAATGAGAAAAAAATATTAGATGAAGATTTAAGTAAGAAATAAAGAGAGAGAGAGAGAGAGAGAAAGAGAGAAAGAGAAAGAGAGAGACGAAAAGTTTTTTTTTTTTTTCGAAATAATTAAAATTATGAGGTGATGGTGGTGGTGGTGGGTTGTAACCATATTGATTTTTTTTTTTTTTTATAAGTAACACATTACATCAACAAAAGAATTTTCCTTTAAAGGATTTTCATATTTTTAACCCCTCCCCTCCCTCCCCTCCCTCCTCCGCCCCTCCCTTACCACTTTCGAGAAAAAAAAATTGTTTTTAAAAGAATTCAAAAGTTTTTCTATAAGAAGTTATTAAACTAAAAAAAAAAAAAAAAACTTTTTTTTTTTTTTTCAGTTTTTTCCACGTGAATAAACCTTGCACAAAAGCAATAATTTATTTAAAATATAGTTTTATGTAATTTTCTAAAAATATCCTACTTCTCTTTTTTTTCTTCTTTCATTTTTTCCCCCCAAAAAAAATTGAATAAAAATTTTTTAAAGTTTTTTTTTTTTTTTTTTTTATTACCATAGTCGTTATTTACCCTCATACGTTAGAAAAGAAGGAAAGAAAAAGTTTTTCCGCGCATACATATCGACACGTAAACAAAAAAAAGAAAATTCCTTTCAAAAATTTCAAAAAAAAATTATTATTATTATTAAAACAGTAAATTTTCTATTTTCTTTTTAATTTTTCCTCTGTAAAATTTATCTTAAACTTTCTATTGAAAAATTATGTGCATGGAAAAAAAATGGCAGAAAATTAAATTAAAAAAAAAATTAATCAGACGTCCAAAAATAATAAATTTTTTTTTTTACGGATTCTTAAACAATTTAAATACTTTCCCCCTACCCTCCCTCTTCCTCTCCTCTATCCCCCCTCGGAATAATTTATCAAATTCGGTGAGTGACGAAGGTATTAAATATATTAAAAACGTCATTCAAAAATTTAAAAAAAAAAAAAATAGTTTTCCAAACGGGAAATTTTTTTTTTTAGTATGTAAACAATGAGTTAGCGGGAAAATAATGATTATCATTTAAACAACTGATAAGGTGATAACACGAGAAATTTAAATAAGTTTTCCGACTCGCAAGGGTGCCCCCCAAAATATCACAACAAAATAAATAAAAAAAAGTTTTTCCCTTATAATGACGTCATTTCAATCATACCGTCATGCGTTCGTCGTTGTGGCTGTGATTGTGATTGAGAAAAATGACAAAAATATTTTATTTTTATATTAAATTATTTCTTTATCATTAACGACGGGGGGTGGAGTGGGGAGAGAGTATTTTGGGGATGAAAAGAATAACATTTTTAAATCGATGAAATGAAACCATAAGTGAATAATATTAATAATAACGATTATAATGATGATTCGGTAAATTTTCTCCTCTTTTTTTTATTGTAAATGTTATTTTTATCATAAATAATAATAATAATAGTAATAATAATAGATTGTGTGACGTTGCAAATCTTTGTAGTTTTTGTCACTTGTTTATTTATTATTGATTAATTGATTTTTGTTGATAAACGCCCTT